TTTGAAAATCTTCGTAAAATCAAAAAAAGTTGGAAATTGTCCAAAAATCGCTCAAAACGGGAAATTTTTGAAAATTTCCGCCTTCAAATTTTTTTTTAAATTTTTCAAATTTTTTGGAAAGCGTACGGTTCTGCAGTGCATCGTGTGGGGAGATTTTTGAAATATATTTTGAAAATTTTGAATATTTTCGTTAAATCAAAAAATGTTGGAAATTGTCCAAAAATCGCACAAAACTATCGAAAAATGCTGCGAATTGTCTGAAACGCACACAAAACTAAATTTTTTTAAAAAATTTGAAGGAGGAATGTTTCAAAAATTTCTAGTTTTGTACGATTTTGGGACAATTGTGTCGGAAAAATTAAAAATTGATTTAGTTATTTTCGCTTTCCATGTCAGTTGCAACGATTTACAATTTTTTAAAAAAATTCAAAATTTTTCGAATATATAACCTGTCTAAAAAGCGCACAAAACTAAAAAAATTGGAAAATTTCAACTTCAAAAAATTTGAATCCAAGACATTTTTGGTTTTGTGCACTTTTTAGACAATTTGCAGCATATTTTTAATTTTCGAAAAATTTGAAAATGCGCACAAAACCACCATTTTTTAAAAATTATGAATTACAATTATTTCGGAAAATTTCAAGTTATTTTCGCTTTTCATGTCATTTACAACCATTTATAATTTTTTAAAAATTTCAAAATTTTCGAAGAACCAGAAAATGCTGGAAACTGTCTAGAAAGCGCACAAAACTAAAAAATTGGAAAATTTCGACATCATTTCCATAGGGCGTCTTCATTGTTTATGGGTGTTGCATAAACGATGGAGTTGAAGTGACCCACAGATAAAACTCCAATGGAGTCAGGTCCGGTGACCTCGGTTACCATGCAACTGGGCCACTACATCCAATCCAACACTGAGGGTACTGTTCATGGAGATGATCTCTGACAGGATGGGAGAAGTGCTGGGGCTGACATGCATAAACCACATGTCTTGTATTCCACGGTACATCTTCAAGGAGACGTGGCAAGTGTCTTCTTATGAATCGCCAATATGAAGGTCCTCTTAGACGCGATGAAAGCATGTGTGGATCAATAAGCATGTCGCCAACAATTCCTGCCCAAACGTCAAATGAAAGTATTTGCTGGAAGCTGGACTCACTTTTACATAGTCATTCATTGAAACTTTCTTTGTCTATTATTTCAAAAATGAAACATTTGCGATCCAATGTTTGGTGAAAACAGGATTATTGTAAGTGGGGATGAGGACACTGCTAACTAGATGGCTTACCGAACACAAAGGTCCATCACCGAATAAACCAAAGCCCTCCACCGGACCCTGTCCTGGGCCAACAAAATCCAGTCTCCTTCAACTCCTATATCCTATAGATCACTCCTGACATTATCCTTCCATCTACGTCTAGGTCTCCCCAGCGGTCTCTTCCCCTCAGGTTTCCCAACCAGTACCCGGTGGACACCTCTTGTCCCATCCATGCGCGCTACATGCCCCGCACATCTCATTCTTCTCGACTTAATCACCCTGACAATATTGGGGGGAGGAGTACAGATTTTTAAGCTCATCATTATGCAGTTTATGAGGACACTACATACTAAGGAAATCTGTATTTTGTTATAAGGCCATGAAGGATACATATAAACTGGACATATACAGGAAGTATGGAAAAGTATCTTGAAAAGTATGACTGGAAGACAAAAAAACATTTGGCATTATATATACTCCAGCCAGAATAGAAAGTAACAACTTTATCACGTATATTTTGATTACTGGATCTTAGAAAAATAGTTTGTATGAATATGTCAAATAGATTAAAGTGATGGTGTCCTTTGGCAGGCTGACATATTGGAACTTCACAAAAACTTACCAACTTCTGTACCAAAGGGCCACTATCATCGTCTCGTTTCCTCACTGCTGTCTGCTTCCCAAGTCACTCTCCACACCCAGCATGTAGTCTCAGGAAACTGTTCCACTACTAACTGGTATCACTGTTATGTGGAGTTTTCTGTCACCAGAACAGTTTTATTCATACCCTTCACCTACCACAAACATTTTCACTTCCTAACATCTGCTGAAAATGCTGACATTTCAACATGTGAGATCTTGTGTGTGGTAAACTTCTGTCATATCTGCTCTAACAAACATTTTCTCTTTCTCATGTACTTTTAGTTTGGAACCCCTTAGTGGTAATTGTACGCATTGTATGAGGTTGTGGTTAGCAAATAATTTTTTTTTAGGAAAACCTTGGAGAGAAGGTGGAAAATTTGGTTGAGACGACATAAATTAAGCAGACTGAAATTAATCATATGCAAATGTAGGAGACTAGTGGCAGTGAATCTGTGGGTACAAGTGCTATTACTCTTTATTTTTTATGACCCAAGCAAAACACAACTTTCCTGTGCCATGTTTCAGGGCCTTCTAAACTAAAAATAAAAAGTATGTGTTAAAACTGGAGTCCAACTTGTCTACTATTTCCAATATGGAAGGTATGAAAGGAAGTTTGTAATACAAATTTGATTCCTCACAAGACAATCAAGGTTGATCCTGATCTGACGGCTAGAGCCATCTAGTAGTGAATCACGAGGGACTTGGGTGAAAAATGGCGCTGAATTTTGCTTACAAATGATCTCGTTCACGCTCATAAGGTTCTAAAGTTGTTATGGTCTCATTTAATAATCCAAGAAAGACTCTGGCTTTAAAACCACGATTATATAAGATATATTGGTAACTGGTAGTAAAATAAAATGTTTATTATCCTTACTATATTAAATTGGCTACATAATAATAAATAAATGTTGCTTGTTAACACAATACTAAACATTTTGAATTTACCATTGTACCAAAAGAGCATGGTTTTGATTGCATTGGCAAACTGAGTTTTGAAGCCTTTACAATTATCCTACTAGCTTCTAAATATGTGCCTTGATTGTGTAACAATCCATGAACTCTTGTATGATGTATAATTTACTGTCAAGTCAGCTAATGGATCAATCTTTTGAACACAGAGTTATTTTAGATGCTATAATCAAACTTCTTTTGTTTGCATATTTTTTACGGTATGCTATAATTTCAGCTGGTGAAAAATTGCACATACTAATTGGAATTAACTGTCAACAGAAGTCAGATGTTTCTTTGTATTCATATCACACCAAACAATGTGACAGCAAACAAGGCAGATTTGTAAGCGATAATTAAATAATCAGGCACTTGAAGTTATAAATCTACTGAATTTGTACAATGTAAAATAAAGTTTTCTATAAGAATAGCTACACACTTCTACATTCAACAACCTATGATTTTATATAACTGGTACTCTACAGAACTGCTTGGCTTAAAAATACTGGGAGCAATGTGCTAAAATACTTATATCAGAAATTGAACATTAGTATTCACTTAGGAAAACAAAAATAATTTAATTACTGTAAATAAAACAAAATATTTTATTCTAATTAGAGTTCTAAATAACAACCAAGCTACTATTATTAAACATATATATATCCTAAAATGCAAGGAAGAATCCTGTAGCCCCTTATGAAAAATAACTATAATAAAATAAAAGAACTGACAAATTATACATAGAAATAAAATTAAGTACTTCCTCTAAAGAATCAGATGTCAGAAAATATGTAAGTGAAAACTGGACATAACCCTTCACTCTTGACATTTCTACTTACACTACAAGAATAACAGTTATTTGCTCATTATATATGTTAAGAAATAAAAATAATTTTATATATAGTACCAATTTACCTCAATGGAATATCAGAAAGTCTCAAACTTATATTCAGTTGCAGCATTTTAATTGTAAAAATTTAGTGAACTATGTTTTATCTCTTCTTAATGCTGAAGAATATTTGTATCATGAACATTGGACAATCACACATATTCTGATGTGGACCTTGTACATGAGCACAAATACCAATTAATCACAATTAAAGAGACAACTTTGGGGGCCAAAATACCAAGCAAGACTATCTTTTCTGTTGATAAGAAACAAATTAAACTGACTGATAATCATTATCAACAAAATGTACAATAAACACATTTCCTTTACCCGACATATTTTAGGGTTCTCACAATTTATGTTTTTATTCATCATAGTAATATATTAAATAATTTACTGAAAAAACACTAAGTATCAATAAATTACAAATATCTAAATTAATTTCTTCATTCATTTTACAGCTTAAAACTGCAAGACGCAAGGCCTAAAACGTATGTTCATAGAAATCTAAAACATATATTCAATAAGTGATGTTATATCACATATTGCATCTTAACAATGAAGAGAGAAATTTGAGGATAAATTTGTGGCGTTTCAAAAGAATTTGACCTAATGTGTTTATTTACTGCAATTAACTGCCATTATTTTAACTTTCATGGCAAAAAAATCTCAGCCACACTGTTCTATATTCAATTACTTAACTTTATAAGTATTTAGACCTTGCAACAATGACACTGTTTTGGAATGATTATTACACATGCTAAAACATTTAATTATCACTAAAACTTCCATAAATTTTAAAAACCCTTGTGTATACCAAAGAGGTTCTACACCTGCAACTTAAACATATTTTACCTAGATGGGCAGGAACATTACTTTTACAACAGGCAGATTTAAAGTTCTCAAGAAGCCAAGGACATTCAAACTGTCTTGCTGGCACTTGGGGAAGGAGAGGAAGTAGAGCCCCTCCTAATTCCTGACCTCAATACTAGATGGAAGTAACGAGTGCCCCAGCTGCACTTTACCCCCCGGGGAAAGGACCCCCATTACATACTAGATAGGTTGTTAGGTTGGCCCTCCACAGCCAGGCTGGATGAATGGGCTAGAATAAAAACTCTTTGTCTGCACTGGGACTGAACCCTGGTCATCCAGTCTGTAGACAGACACAAAACTGACTGAGCTATCCCAGCTCAATGGCAGCAAGTGTGTCATTTTAAAAAACAATTGCATGCACCTGTTCACAAGCACCTCCCATGAAGATGTCAAGAGACGGTATTCATAAAAGCTCAATATATTGCTAATCTTGACACTATATAGAAGTAATGGTCTTCTTCAAGCTCTGACCACTTTATCCCTACAGAAAGTCTACAGTACCAAGTGGTAGGTGGGCCCCAGAGCTTGTATGCTCACAAGACAGATCCCTTACCCTCTGTGAATTGAACCATTGTCATTCAACCCAGAGCTAGTCACTTTACTGACATATATTTGTGGGACAGTAACATTTAATTCTAATAAACAGAACTTCTTGAATGACTATATAGGATGGTGTCACATCTAAGTAGTCCTACTTAATGAATAATAACATAAATTTCTTCTGAATCATTATTACTATGTCATTTTAACCTACAAATGTAGCTTATGACCCAAATAAGTAAAAAGACCAGATATTTGCCAACAAGCCTAAAAATCTTAGTTAAGACAATTTTTAATCATACAACAGACTGGTTTTATGGGTTTACACATAGCAGTTCTAACCTATTTGCACAGTGAATTGAATTTTAATATCCGAAAGATGAAAATTAATTCTTGGCACCAGACATTTTGAGAATAATAACATTTGAGAACTTCTGACCAAAAGAAGTGTTTAATGTAAAAAATAACATCACCAATACCTGATCATCACTTCAGCATACTTTCCTGAGCATTCTGTGGTTTACTGGTTCAGTTAATTCTATAAACATTCAAAAATGTGAAGCGTGAGACAGAGTTCATGAATCACTACTCTGAATAAAGTTCTGAATGTTTTATACCAGTCTGTTCAATGGGACTGCAGTTCTACTATCTCATCTCTGTTGTCACACATCATTAATGCAAATGGCTGCACTGCCCAACAGAAATTCTATATTAGAACGCAATGTCATAACTTAACAAAACAGTAAAGTGCAGCAAGTCACATGATGCAACTTACTTAAGAAGCAGGTCATAGTCTGCATAACCAGCTCTGTGGCTGTTGATGTATTTGGCATGGATTTCTGGCTCGAGGTAACTCACTTTCACAGACTCCTCCTCCTTCATTGCATTTCTCCACTCCATCTGAAAAAACAACAGATGTTAACACAATAACATGCAATGAAGATATATAGGAAACAAAACAATTATGGCATTCTGCATTGTTTTCTGAAAGGAATAATTATTAGTCACAAAATCAACTCACCTTAAAGGCAAGCCCTGGATATAAGATACAAAACAGAAAGTAAGAGAGGTGACATTAGATTGAAAGGGATGGGCAGTCAATGACAACAGCACTGAACCCATCTTCAATATATCTTCTTTAGAGTTAACTTTACAAAGTAGACTCTAGTAGTAGAATCCAAATGTTAAAACTGCTAATGTTAAAGCCAGAAAATACCCAAAATCCTATGCTGGTTCTAGCTACTTCTCATCCTCACAACCTACATAGATAACACCCGTCTTAACCTTTATCATCTTGTCATGTCTTATGGCCAGTCCAGCTTTACATGTTGTGTTGAAGTTCAACCAGCAGCCTTGTAATACAGGGGTTTAAATTCCCTTTTCCTGTGCGATAAAGGAAAATATTGAAAATATGCAGTCCAAGAGGTTTCTCCATTAAAACCATGTATGTATTTCTGATTTCCCCTGAGTTATATATGTCTGACCCATTCTGACCTTCATTTAAATAAATAAGTGGATGGATGAATTTACTTACCAGCCTTAGAAATCGCTCCCTAGGTAGCACAAACTGGTCTCCTCCCATGATTTTAAGCATTTCGGACCTCTCACACCATGGCCAAATCATGTAGTCTAGCATTCCTGGCTTATCACCTACAATTACAAATTAAAGCATTATAATACAAAATGTGCTAATTATTTGCTTAAGTTTACAGTGCTAACTGCTTGCTGTACTGACTATTATTTTTATTACAATAAAGTTAATTTTTTCCTATACTAAGGGAAGAGGGGTTTGTAGTACCAGTGTCCTCATGTCCATCAATCCCCAAGCCTGTCCTGCATAATAACTTTTAAACCAAAAGATGGATTGTTATAAAACCTCGTATCGGCACACCATATGGTGCCATCAAACATTTGTACTACTTAAATTCCTGTTACTAATAATGTGAGTTATGTTAGTAATACTATTTAATACATGGTCCTGAAATGTTGTGTGGTACTATAGCTTCAAAAAATAAAGAACTGTTTACTGCGGTAATTTATTGCAGAATTTAAAAAAAACATGGTGATTGAATGAACTCTATATTAGTGATAGTATCCAGAGCTTGTTTAATTAAGTTAGAATAAATTTATGTTTTGTTAACGTAATTTAAAGAATAATTATACAGAGTGATTCAAAATGTTAGGGCCAAACTGAAGGAGCGTATAGAGGGACTCAGAGAGAACAACTTTCGAGTAGGAATCCATGTCCTCCAAAGTTATCCTGAGTCAGTGGTCTGATAACATACCTGTTGTAAGTTTGGTTTGTAAGATTGCTAATGTAATCCTTGTACATTAATAAGAAACAAAATTAAGCTAGTAGGAGAATAGCAAAATATGATTATTTCAGCGGTATGTTATCAGACTTCCCTACCTTCAATGGCCTCAACTGACTCAGGATTCCATTCACAGAAACCATATCTAAATTCAGTATAACTAACTTTTGGCATTTACCTCCGAAGAATGGCTTTGATCTTGAAACGATCTCCCTCTCAAAGACATCCAGTGCCTTCATAACAGCATCCAAGAATTCTCTATCCATGTTTTGATAAAGTCTGTACAGATTTGAAATGACCTGCAAATATAAAATGTACATGTCACTTAATAATAGGAGTTAAAATCTTTTTCATACATTTCTTGGTTTGTGCAGTCAAAGTTCAGTGTAGCCAATATGAATATGTGGATCATGGTCTTCTCGGCTGTAACATCATTTAGGTGGTTACCACTGATTTGAAGGAATGTATCACCTTCATCTATAATTCTATCCTAAATAAAATATCTTACAACACAATGGTAACCACCTACAAGTCTACATGGCATCGTTTGTTAGTTTGTCATCAGTCTTTCGACTGGTTAGATTTGGTCCTCCATTTTCGCCTATCTTGCGCCAATCTCTTCATTTCCACATATTTTTTGCAGCCCACATCCTCAAAAATCTGTGTCACAAACCAGAAAACCACAATCAACATTTTCATTAGATCTCACTCACATCAATATTAATAGTTTCCAAGGCAGAATTCTGTCTGATTCTCAAAGTAGTGACTAATTGCGTGTTGGCTAAAATAGAAGTAGTAGTAGTAGCAGCTGCTGAGGGAATTAAACATTTCTCACTCAAAAACAATAACAAATATGAACTCAAATAACTCTATGGAGCAGGTTTGTGGTCAAGTCTGACTTATTCAATGACAAAATCTGAATTCAAATAAAAAGTTCTCCCAAAAATAAAATAATAGTCCTACTCACTAGTGATGACATTAATTAATATGTACTGCATTTACAATTATATGCTATAAATTTTTTTTGGCTCAACTAGGATTCATTTGTTTGATAACCTGTGCATGAGCACAGCACTAACCTATTGGCTAAATTACATTATCTAAATAAAACCATATGAAAGCCCCTATCCTTCACACTGGAGTGAAACAGGTATAAAGAAATCATAACACAAGATCTGTAGCAGTGGTAGTCCATGCAAAAGGAAAGTAGGCTTTATGAGTTTGGCCCACAACTCCTTATTTTGTAAGTAGGTACAACTTTCTCATGTACAAATTATATTTGTGTTCTTTGGCAAATCACTTTTCACTGTTAAATTTAATACTGTACATTTCCCTTAACAATTTCTACAAACAACATATGGAAAGCAGAGTTAATGGTTTTTTTGAATTTAACAAATTACTTGTTCATACACACCAAATAAATACAGCCAGTACAAACCTTATTGAACTGGTCAATCAAAAGCTTGTCTTTTGCTTTCTTCAAAGGGTCCTTTGGATATAATTGTCTTTGTGGATATTTCTCATCAAGATAATCTGCAATGATCATACTCTCATAGATACAGTCTCCTGATTCCAGCTCTAAGGTTGGAACTTTTCCTAGGGGACTCTTCTCATATAGCCATTCTGGTTTTTCCGTTAGATTTACATTCACTACATCATATCTACAAAATAAGATACAAAATACACTTCAACTTTATATTTCAAGAAGTTCCAGAACAATTGCATCTTTATGTTACAAACTACACATCGATAATTCACCTCTGACTGTTTCATGATGGCACATCATTAGAATAACATACTTAGTCATCAAATCTGGGTCTCTGATGAAGCTGTGCCTCCTATGTGGAATATGCGGACAAATGCAAATAAGGTTGCTTGATGTGAGGTTATGCTTAGGAACTGATATCTCCTATGCATGCATCTTTATGTGATGGAATTATGTCAACTACAGAACCAGGTAGTCAGTATAATTATATCTCTGAAACTACTGGGTAGATCCAGATGAAATTTGACATTGTGAATCTACAAAAAGATGGCAAAGATGACACGTGAGTTTTATTTTGGTTTGTACTTGTCCAACATAACTTACTTTACACTGGAAATTTTCTCTGGATTGCCTTCTCATACATAAGTTTGTGAATGGCTTAAAATAAAGATCTAACTAAAAAATACAACTTTTATGTGAAAAGGTTCTGCAAAATTACTGTATAATTATACATTCAGTATAGTTTGTACTTCTGTTAACTATACCTCAGTAGCTGAGTACAGCACCTTTCACTAGTATAGTAATGGAAAAGTGACATTTATATAAGCAAGCTTACTGTGACAAAGTGAATACTGGACATCACCTTTAAGAACTAACTTCATGGAGAAGAGTCCTTCCTGGGAAGCTAATAATCACTCAGCTTGTAAAATTCCCTACCTTTCATAGAATTAAAGCATTCATTAATATGCTCACAAGATCCTACCACTGGGTCTTATTCTAAGCTAAATGAATTGAGTCTGTGTCTTCACACCCTGTTTCTCGAAGATTCATGTTAATACAGGGAGAACACGTGATATATACCACTTTACTGTAACACTGCTCATGAACTAAAAGGCAGAAGAATGGGAATTAAACACACTTGAATAGGTCATATGATCAAGTTTATAATATTTGTGTCACTTGAGTGTCCAAATCTTTCTACCTGAAGAATCTACTACATGGTCTACCAGCTGGTGACATGGAGATTTCAAGGAAATGCTTATTAGTCTTCTTCCTTCTTCCTGTGGCTCTATAACCCAGTGTGGGTCTTTGCCACCTCCTTTCAGAGGTTTCGGAATCTTTTAAGTGAGCATTTGTGAGTAGTGAGTGACCAGCCCACTGCCTCTGCAGAATTTCTACTCGATCCTGATTTTGTTTGCTAGAGCCATCTAGTAGAGAATCAAGAGAGACATGGGTGAGAAACAGACACTGAATTTTGCTTACAAAACAACTTGTTCATGCTCATAAGGTTCTTTTACATGCCATAAATCTACGACTTGAGACCACTGGCTTTACTCCCCTTCCTAAGGAAGTTGTGCTATGGATCACCCTTAAAAATCCATTGACCTTGGCTGGGTTTAAACCCACAAACCTTGGGCCCAGTGGTGAGCACGCTAACCACTAGTCTACTGAGGGCAACGTTTATTAGACTACTTACGGTATCTTTTTTGCATCAAGCACTAAATGCACCCGCTGTGAATAGGGGTCGAACCTCATACTGTACAATCTTAACTTCCCTTTAGACAAGGGTGGATTCTTGGATCCTGTAAAAATATTCAAATCAACAAATTTTAAATCTAAAACATCACAAAAATGTTTCACTATTAACTCCATGTACAGAGTCTTTCTTGAGAAGCTGACAGTCACTTATGTGATAACTGCCCTGTCTTTTATGGAACCTGACAGTTCATTATTGGGTTCACACCAGCCTGCAGCTGGACCATACCATAAACCAGTAGAATCCAATCCAAACACTCACAGGTCCCCTACTTTTATAAGATAAGTTTTAGCACTATCTTTCAATATATGCACAGATCTCACAAGTGGTTTTCCAAATACAATTTTGTATTTTTTACTTCCCCCAAAAATGTTACTGTCTTGCCCATCACATCCTCCTTGATTTTACCAGCCTATAATATTTGGCAAGTACAAATTATGATTAGATCTAGGAGTGGTTTCTTGTGAATGCAGTAACAAATCTTTGGTTTTCATATGCATGCAATATATTGCTGTTGAGAAACTATCTGCTTCTCAATACTGTTAAAAAAGGGAGGAAATGTTACACCTGAATTTGTCACCACCTTATATACATTCTTTGAAACAGAAACAAAATCTTATCTTACATAATTGCGAATAATGAGGACAAAATGACTTTCTAAAGTTTACTTT